CGTCGATTGAATTTGTGCAGAATCCAACAAACTACAGGAAAAGACCGTCCTCTTGTTTCCTGTTCTTTCAGGTCTCTTGAATATTTAAAATGTTCTGCAGCGTTCTAGTGATGTTTTCAGCAGGAAGTCTTCTTTCAGGTTCCAAGATGTTCTTCCTAAAGGCCGAATAAAGTTCTCTAAAGATGTTCTGAGGAGGTTCTTGAAACATTTTCCAAGTGTTGCATTGGGAACATCCTTTCTTTGTTGTCATGGAACCTTTCCTAGAAGAACGTTCTCAACATTAACATCCCCAGAACATTGCAGGCAAAATGTTCCACCTTTGTTTATACTTAAGATCATAGAAACATCTTCTGAGAATGTTGGTTTGAGAACGTTCTTCTTTTGTTATCCTGAAACATAATCTGACAACATCGTCTGAATGTTAAAACGTTCCGTCTTTGTTCGCGTTTCACCTCACGGGAACATTATTTTACATTACAAATATTCTTAAAACGTTCTGTGAACATTAGATTAAACTGCTTTCAAACATTATTAGAACTTGTAGGTGATGTTAGCCAACGTTGTGGGAACGTTCCCCGCTTTTCTTTAGTAAATACATAGAACTTATACCTGCTGTTCAAACATTCCCTCATTAGATTATTACAGACGTGACTTGAACGTTCCTCTCCAGTCATTTATTTGATTGTAAAGCATCAGCACCACTGATCTCTTAACCTCTGTTTGTTCCAACCACGAGAACCACCCCAGAACTTTTCCAGGGTCATTTTCGGGGTAGAAAACAGCACCGAACCACCTTTATTATCCTGTTATCCCTGAAAAAATGGCTCTTAACTGGTTGGTTAAACTCAAAACACCAACAACAACCATTTTTTCTGCCTTCTTGACGTCGACGTCCAACGAAGCAAACCCTCTGCTGCTCTGGTTAGCTACGTCCGCTAAGTGCTATCTGTGGTCGCTTTGACGAGCTGATGTCATGGAAACAGAAAGAGCCAATTAGGGCCCAGTTTCTGTCTATATTTGCGCCACCTGCAGAGGAAAGCTGCCTGATGTCGTCTAATTTACACCTCAGATGGTCACAGAGTTTCACAACAATCAGCATTTGGCTTCATGTGGAGGTTAAAGACTGGGAGGTGAATCTATTCCACTAATTCACATCAAATATTACAAAAAAGGTTGAATCCTTTCTTTTCCTAGGGTACATTTGCTCCGGTGTCTGACCCAGGACGAGTTTCTTTTGATTTACCTCCTGATGAAACCCAAACTTTCCTCAGAGAACTTGTTTAAAATGAAACTTCCGGACATGGAGCCCTCCTCTGGGCCCGTCAGCGCTCCTTCCCCCCCACGTTTAATCTCGGCGAAAACAGGTTCTCGTTTAATTGTACAAGGAAACACTTATCGCGCCGGCGTGCCAAAGCAGATTATGGAAGTCGTAAAAGCCGGAGTGAAGCAATTTGAGTCTGACGGACAGTTTGACAGTCGTTTCCTTTTGTGCGGCGCTGAGTCAGTCCTCACTCGTCCTGCATGTTAAACCTCTGCTTCGTCCTCGCTGGTCGATCGACTCCAGTTCAACTTTATTTCCACACACACAGAAACTCAACTTGCTTTCAGATTTCTCTCCAGCCATGAGGGAGTTTTTATCGGGATAATTTAGAAGATGATCATTAAAAACTGAAATAATTCAGGCGTCCATCCCTTCAAGCTGCAAATGAGGAAAATCGTTGGAAAGAAAACTACAAATTCTATTCAGGAGGCGTTAAAGTTCTCAACACAGCACTTTGTCACTTGCACATTTAAACTAGGGATGAACGATATATTGGCCACCACATCGGTATCGGCCGATATTTGTGTTTTTTCCCGATATATTGGTATCGGTCCGATGAACAAATTTAGCTGATGTGAAAAACTGATGACCGTCTAACATTTGATATCGCTGCTATTTCACAAATGTTTTTACTTAAATCATCCTGGTCTCAAATACGTTAAAATATGTTTAAATATGTTTTACTTTTGTCATAAAGAAGACTGTGTGGTCTAATTTGGGCTTCTTCTGAATAGTTTCTCACAGTGCTTACTTCTGCTCATTTTTCAGTGTGAACAAAAACTGAATATCGGTAATATCGGTTATCGGCGATATCAGAAATGTTATTATCGGTATTGGCCAGAAATTTTAATATCGTGCATCAGTAATTTAAATGTAACTATATTTATATTTATATATTTAACGATATTTGTCTTCATCATCCTTCACAAACATCTCATGACGCTTGTTCCCAAATTTAGAGTCTAAGTGTTTAAATTTATAACGAGGATCTTTCACTAAACTTTCTTCTTCATCACTTAGAATAAATGGAAAATGGTTGTACTTACCTTTGTAGTAGGAAAAAGGCCCTAAAGCGAGAACAGACGGTTTAATGAACAACATACAGAGAGCCTTTGTTCAAACTTAAACATCTAAAATATATATGAGTCATGTTTTTATACAAAGCACTAAAAAAAAACTTTCATCAGCTGGTCGGATGAAAAACTTTCTATGAGAACAGGAAGCCGCTGCAGCAGCACATTTCCTTGTCAGCAGGTAATAGACGTCGTTTTTATTTATTCATCGAAGGATATTTAAAGTTTAAAACATTTCTGAAGACATGTTCTGTCATTCTTCAGAGACGAGCTGCTCTGCCTTTAAATCTTTAATCATTAAGTTCAGGCGACACACTTGAGGCCGCGTCATGTTTTAACTTTACTCTTCTTTGAAAACTTTGTGCTTCGGATGGTTCTCATGCTGGAATATTCCTCTTCTTCAGCCTCCTGCAGGCTGGGAGTCGCCTCGTCAGCCCGTACTTTGGTTTATCCATCGATACCCGTCGTCTCCCCAAAACTTGTTTCACTCATCAGCCTCATATCATGATGCTGCCGCCTCCGTGCTTCACTGTCAGGACTATACGTCCACTGTGATCCTCAACAAATTCATCTTGGTCTCATCTCAACACAGACTGACTTCTTTAGATCTTTATATGTTCTCTACCAAAGTGTCGTCTTGCAGTTTTGTGCCCAAACACAGTGAGGGTTGTTGATAACCAGCAGCACTGATCAGTGGTGCTTTTACTTGTTGTATAGCTCCTGATTAATGCTGCAGCTGTTGTTCATTGATCTTCCTGTATCCTTTTCCATCGGCGGTCACTTTTTTAGTCCTTCTGGTGTTTTTCCCTCATGTGGAGTCATGATGTTGGCGTGCACAGGTCCTTTTATAGCCGTTCTCATGCAGTTCCACTAATTGTAAATCGGTTTCCGTTTTAGTTTGAGCGTTATTCAGTGTTGTTGTGTTTCTACTTTGGGGCGTGTATTTTCAATATAATCTTTCAAAAGTGTTTGTTTTTGATTATTCATAAGAGGAAATACTCGACTGTTCAACTTTTAAAAATGCAATCATTGAGATATGTTTCAGTTTTGAGTAATTTGACATTTATGTGACGTTGTACAGGAGCGTTTGCTGTGTTTCAGGTTTGTTAAAAATATATTCACATGGTTTAGACAAACCTCTCAGTATGCTAGCTTAATTAATATCATTTGCTCGTTTCGCCAGATGTGTTGTTCAACAGCATCAAAGAAGTTTTATAAGCTCCATATTATTTCATTTACTTTTCACTCTAAATAGCGTATAAGCTAATGCTAGCATTGTCATTCAGTGAGTCACCAACAGTTGTAAACATTTAGTAAGAACTCGTCTTTATTTAGGAACAAGGGTGTAGTAAATGCTCATAAACACGACCAGCTGCTGCTGCAGCTGCCTCTCGCTGTGTTTATCGTTAATCAATGAGCAGCTTCATGACGTTTTAATGCTCTTGGAACAGTTTTCTGAAGCTGACTTGGAACGCAGCGTGAGCCAATCCAGGACGACCAAAATACTTTTAAACTGTACATTTCATAGTCGAGTTATTTTAAGCTTGAGGGATCACGAGGTCGATCTGCGGATTAGCCGCTGCACCAACACGCTCATTAAGGCCCTGAGCTCTTAAAAGACGAAGCCTGATCCCTCATTATTTCATCCAGCGCCCAGGTCTGGTAGTCAAGTAGGAGTCTTATCTGTCATGATCCAAACAAAAACCCAGTTGAAAGTCATTTTTTTCTGGCACTACTGATAAAAAATGAGGCTTAAAAAGAACCAAATCCACCAAATAAAGCTCCACTGGTGCCTTTATATGTATATTTCCTACATCTGTACAGTAACACGTCCTCGCTGTGCCGTTTATTTTATGTACAACAGTGAAAAAAAAAAATTGGATTTTACTCGGCTGAGCTGCGTCTCGAGTGACAGATTTATTATTGCTTTATTCTTCACAGTTTAAGTCACAGCTCTGCGGATGCGTCATCTGTCCGCTCTCTCAGGTTTCTCGCGTTTGAGCTGTCACAACTTTCGCAGGGCTAATGGGCTGTTAATGTCGCCTCTCTGTTCTCCTTTACCCTCCTTCCCTTCCCTTCTGCTTGCTGTTTTAATCTTTGCTTCCTTCCCCCACTTTGCTCCTCTTTCATCTCCGTTCCTTGGTTCTTGCCTCCCTGCAGTCCTTCTGCAGCGCTGCCTGCTCAGCATCTCTTCCTCTAACGACACAGCGGCGGTCGCAGGATGTTTGCATGTCCTTGTGGAAAAAGTACCGCCGGGGTCACGGGGGAAGTTTCTGGGCATAAATATTGCAGGTTGGATGGATGAGACAGTTAGCGGACCAGACAGCGAGACCAGCTGGACCTCATGTTCACCTTAAGGTTGAGACGGATCTATTGGAGAGTAACTGGTAGTCCTGATATGTGAGGGTTCAGTACCAAAGTGGGCCAAACCACCAAAAATCCAAAGTTGAGTTGTATATGGTCGACTAGTTCGTGGCAAAGTGGTCCAACCAACAGGCCACTAGTAGTGTCACAATGTGGCCCATAATGGTTTTGGCATGGAAAGTTAGTGGCAAACTGGACCAAGCCACAGGAACAGCTGACCATTAAATCGCAGGTAGTTCAAGATGGCGGACAGCGTGACCCCAAGCCCCGTGAAAACTCAACTTGTAGGTACAATTGGGTTAAACAAACCTTTATGAACAACCACCAAGCATCTATTTCTACCCCATGGTCCTCAGAAGTATCTCTAGTTCCTGATGATGTAAACTCTTCAGTGCTGTTCAGCAAGATAAACCTTGAATCAGTTGTTTTCTCACAAAGTAGAAAATGTGGTTGGGCCCGCTTTGGCACTCAGCAATAGGAAATTAAAACTTAACCAAGTCATCACAGAGCAGCTGTTTCTGTCTCTGGACGGTGTTGGCACATCTTTGGATCCATATAACGACTCCTCCAACAACCAGGATGTTTATTTTGACCCCATTCTTCTCTAGAACTAGTAAATGTGGTTCACTTTGGCGTTAACCACCTCGATTAATAAATGTCCCTCTTGTCTCTGCAGACGGGAAGGTGTACGCGCTGGGCGGTATGGGCGCCGACACGACGCCTCAGGCTCTGGTCAGAGTGTACGAGGCCGAGAAGGACCAGTGGCAGCCGATGGCCTCCATGCCGACGCCGCGGTACGGAGCCACGCCCTTCGTCAGAGGAAACAAGATCTACATCATGGGTAGGACATCCAGCTTCTTCATTATTATGCATTATGACTGTTCAGTCAGTGTGTTAGCACGCACTAGCATTTAGGTTAAAGAGTCTTTAAAGACAGAGAAACACACAACCTCATGCACTGTTCATGTCATTCCTCCATTCTCCTGTATTGCAGATATTTATAGTTTTGTTTTTAGCCTTTATTCTGGTCTGGCCTGCTGGGGGTCGACCCGGCTTTTGGGTCGTCCTGCAGTTTGGGTGTTTCCTCAGCTACTGAGATGTTACAGGTTCCTGCAGGGAAGCTAAGCTAGATTAGCACATCTCTGAGTTTCATTTAACACATCTTTCCATCATTTGCGTTGACAGTCGATGTTTTTCTGTAGGAGACAAACAGGTTTAGTCTTCAATGGCATTTTCACACAGCTCAGTGTATTATATAGTTTCTGATTCTATTACTGTTCACATGCAGTTTGCCAGTTATGTCCTGCACATGACAGGAATAAAACAGACATGTTTTATTACTACAAATATGGAAACAAGACTGTAAGTGGTTGTTTGAGCAAACATTTACCTTCAGCCTTAAATCATGACATTTATATTTGTAGTAACATAACTACAGGTCATATGTAGTCACATTTAGAGGGAGGACGCCGGGTATTTAGCCAACTAGACAATTATTAAGGTTTATTATGGAGAAATGATTCTTTTTATGGGAAATTTACTGAAAAATGATCAATCCTTAATTCAGATCACAGATATAAATGTGTGGTTTACCAAAGTGTCTACTGGCTAAAACCACCTCGTCTATATTTAATTATAAGTTTTAATTAATCACACAAGCACAGAATAGTTTAAGGAAGTGAAATGTAACACAAGGGGCTTTACAAATAAAAGGAATAATAATGAAATAAAACAATACAAATCATACGTGATGCTCCCAACACCATGATATAAATGAAGGACTCAAAAACACAAAGATTAAGGAACTTAAAGGAAACGCGATTCGAAATAATGTTTGTAATCAGGAAACACCAGATGATATAAAAAGGTTAAATTAAATAAAATTAATAATAATAAAAATAAAGTAATGTCAAATAAAAATAAAAATATATAATAAATGAAATAAAAACAAAATTAAAAATATCTAAATAAACTAATAAAAATAGAAATGAAAAGATAAATGAGAAGGTAAATAAAATAAATGAAAAATAATAAAGTGATCTAAAAAAAAAATACAGAGAATGAAATGAAAGGAAAATTAAATTAAATTAAATTAAGAAATTAAAAATATCCGGATAAATTAATAAAAACAGAAATAAAAATGAGAAGGTAAATAAAACAAATTAAATTAAATTTAAAATAATATTAAATTAAACTCATGAAAATAAAATAAGAATTTTGGACAGAGTTCAAAATTCATAAAAACAGAATAAGAAAATAATGTTAAAAAAAATAAAGTAATAAATGATACACTGAACAGACTAAAATATATGTAAATGTATGGAGAAATCCATAAATAAATTTATTTTAATAATAGTAATAGAAGTAAATGAAGTTCTTCAGATGACCTGTGGTGGTTTTAATGTTGTGGCCGCTAACTGATCCTTCAGAGTTCCTGCAGACCGCCGTGGTTCGTGTTCAGTCACTTTGTCAAGGACGCCACGTATCTGAAGTAGCTCCGTCCTCAGGATTCGATGTTGTGAGACCGCTTCCAAACCTCCAGGCGGCTAAAATTTCACACTCGGCGCTTTTATCAAGCAGATAAAGGGAAAGATAAGAGCAGCGAGTCTGGCTGCTCGCTGTAACCGTTGTGATTGTCGTGTCCTTTTGGTTCTTCCTCCCACGTAACTGTGAGTCTGGGGACGTGTGAGCGCTGTACTGTTTTACTGTAAGACTTTTTTAGCTCCGACTTTATCCGGCTGGCAGCTCTCAGAGCCGTGAAAGCCGCTGATGGAAAGACAAAACAGCGTCTCTCAGGTCGGAGGAGTCTCGCGGTGTTTGTGCAATATTGATCAGAAGAGCCGGGGCCTGAAAGGAGGCTCTGCAGGAAGCGTAAAAAATGAAATGTCGCTTTCCATCCCTGATCAGAGGTTACATTTGCTCTCGTTGCGTCTCGTTGGGGGGCTGTTTATTGGCCGCTGACGCTTGGTTAAAATTTCACACCACTGCTGAGAGAGGAATTGGAATCACACGAGGCCGAGGTCATTTTCATCTCAGCGAAGAGGCATTTTGCAGACAGATGAATCCATTTCAGCAACACATGCCCACATGCAGCACAAAGGGACGATAAACGCCGGAGAGCAGCAGTTCTGCCCGTTTCCATATCGGCGTTTTTAGCCTCACGCGTTCCGGCAGAAGCACAAAATGAGTCCTTGGTTGAAAAGATGCTCTGCAGGCAGCAGACATGAAACCAAACAGACGGAGGCTGGAAAACACTTTGAAATGCTGAAAACACAAGCAGGTAAATACTGTGGTTCGCGTAGTGGCTTTACAGAAAACCAACCGACCAATCAGACTTTATTCATAGACCATTATTCATACAAATAAAACACAAATAACAGACATAAAAACGCACCAACAACCCCCAGACACTAAAAGCCACGACCAGAGGGCTCTGAGGATAAAAACAAATTGGATAAATATGAAGGAGCAAGAGTTTTATAAACTAATAAAAGGATCTTAAAATCAGTTCTTAAAGGAAACCAGTACAGAGACCTTCCTTCTGGTCTTAGTTAGAACTCCTGCTGCAGATTTTCGTTGGAGAGGAATTATCGTCTTCTTAGAAAGCATCACAGTAATCAATCCTGCATAAAAGCACCTACTAGCGTCTCTGCTTTAGTTTGGTGATGGTTTATAAGTTAGAAAAAGCCATCTTGGGCTCAAAATTGTTTGCTAAATCCAAGATTTTTCACTTGTTTTCATTGTTTTAATGGAAGAGCTTGTAGTTGTGAGATGAGCTCGTCTCATTGCGCTTCGGCTCCAACGACCACAACCTCAGTTTTGTCCTGGCTGAGCTGTAAAAATGTCTAAAATACAATTAAAAAGGGCATCAATTGGCGATGTACAGCCGTGTGTCGTCAGCGTAGCTCTGGAAACTGATTCCATGTCTCTTAGTGTAACACACAGATTAAAAAGTAGAGGACCTAAAATTGAACCCTGAGGAACACCAGAATTAATTTTATAGCTCTTAGACGAACAATCCACTCTGAGTACAAAAAACCTGGTAAAAACAACAACAAAAAAGATTTCAAAAACATTTATTTTTGTAGTTACAGAAATGTTTGATTGAGTATATTGTTCACCAGCTACAACTTTTAGTGTAAAATCAATTCTTACTTCCCTAATCAATAATTGCGTATTAAAGGTGGATTACGTGAAATGACACTGACAGGGTTGCTACACTATGAAATTGGAAAGTATAGAAGTATGAAAATAAAAGAAGACCCCGGACACATATTTGTTTCTAGTTTCTGACGCTGTTTTGTTTTCTAGAAGTATTACAATAAAATAAATAAAAATAAATCAAACAAGCACAGAGTTTTTCATGGAGCTAAATGTTCACCATCTGTGCATCACTGCCAATATTGTAATAATATAAATGCAATAATATGTTGTATCTTTGCATACATACATGCAGCAATATATACATATATCACCAAATGTTAAGGTTGTCTGAACTTTGTTATTATCAGGAAAACAAACATTTGTGTGTAAAGGAACCACAACTCTTTTATTGTCACTGTGAAGAACCAAAACTGCACAAAAACTACTGGTTATAAAAGAGACAGAAGCACAGGGGGGCAGTGATATTATTTATATTCCATGTTCAGTCAAAATAATGAGTGCAGGTAGCAGCGGTGTTGTTGCTCTTCCTTGTTCTTCACTGTTTTAGGAATAAAACGCCGTGCAGTGAACTTGTCTGACTTTAATTTGTACTACAGAACCTACTTGGAGCTTTTTGCACTAATTTGGCCACAAAATAAAAAGAAAAAAACTGTCAAAATAAAACCACTTATCTGCAGAATAAACATCCAGTTAGTTGCACTCGAATGTCAGAGATCAAAATATGGTCCGAAAAATTCAGAGAATCAGAAAAGACTGGAAGTTTAAGTCTGGAGAAATATATACATAGTTTCTAAATCTAAGAAGGTCCCTTTAACCGTGTTGTTTATTATGAAAGCCCAACAATCTTCAATGATCTTTCCAGAAGGCGGACTAAGTTGACACGCCACCTATACAACCATTTAGTTTCTGTTCTTTCAACTGTACTGATGTTTATTTTATATTACAGCCCTAAGGTGAGTGAATATTGAACTTATGGTCATCGTGTGAACCCAGATATGACATCAAACGACTGCTCATGTTAGTGGATGCAGGAATAAGCTGAACTGCTTGTCTTTAACGCTGTCGGTGCTGCTTCTCCTGCCCTAATTCACAGCTGATGCAAGTTTATGTAAAAGATCTGAACTCTGAAGTGCATTTAGCTAAAACATATGACAAGACATACAAACAGAGACCCTGTAGTACGCTTTTTGAAATGTCTGAGTCACATTTAGGGCAAGAACCAGTGGAAAATAAGACTTTATGTTGAGTGTCGAGCCTTCAAAGTTCGTGAAATGGTTCTAGAAATGGAGGTCTGACAGTTGGTGTTTCTTCACTAACGTTGGGACTAACAAACTCTAGAAAGAGTTTATTTGCAGATATTCGATTGTTTTGGACAAATCAAATCCATCCAGATGCGTCTTCGTCGTATCGCGACCTTTTTATCGAGTCAGATTTGTTTCAAAATTTTTAAGCGACACTGTGAACAAAAGGACGTACAATCACAATGCTAGAAGTCTGATAGCTTTTACAATCGTTCACATCATTTGTTTGCAAATTTTGCTTTTGAGGCGCGTCACTGAGTTTTATTCTCTCTCAAATTCTTCTTTCTGTTTGAGAGTTCTGTCTGATCATTCTGACACAAATC